TAAGGATAAGAAGAACATGAACACAAAGGGAGTATTTGTTTCAGATGGTCGATATTTAGGCACTGTAGAGTTTGTTTGTAATTAAAAAGTTTAGAAATAATTGTATATAATTGTAAGAAATACAAGGTGTGGACGTCAACTTGAAATAAGGTGGAATACAAGACAGGATCTTTTGTGATAAGTATCTTTATACGCATATGTTCTAAAGGGTATTTCAAATCTCAAAAAAAACGTTAATCATACTGAAACTTTGAATTCGAAGTGTAACTATATTACGAACTTCGATCCTTGCTCCATTTAACTCCTCTCACTCTTGTTCCTTTCTTTTGTTTATTCTGAATTGTTAGCTACATAACCGTATTCCTTATAAAGAATTTTCTTACAAATAATTTGGCTTTTTTTTTTCAGGCAATCTTTTCCTACAACATTTTATTGTATTGGTTCTGGCATTATGCACTTAGAGTTTGATCTTCTACATAAAATATGAAGATAACAAATAGTAATCAAGCTCACTAGTCACAATGTATAGATATTATCTATAAATTGACAACTCGGCTTTTTTGACTTCATATATACTAGTAACCACTTCTTCAATAAAAATGGAAATCGGAAATTGTCTTACTCAAGAGATGCTCTGAGTACGATCAAATTTTTAAATCAAGGCAGGCGACTGACAGATAAGTTGAAGTAATAGGCATTAACAGCCTCGTTTGAAGTCAGCATTTCGTTAATTCTATGGTCGTTGTAATTACCTTGTTATATAACCTATCGCTGGGTCGTGTTTTGGCTGACCTGTTTCATACCAATTGTTAAGCCTTTATTTTTATACTGAATTTCACAACGGAATGTTCCGTCTACCTGATCAATACATAGGGTTCCGGGGTTGTGACTGATCAACAAGGGATACTTACTCCTCCTAACAATTGGTGTGAAACACGTCAGCCAAAATAATACCTTTTGAAAGGTTACATGTATATTTGAAAACAAGGTCATTATAACGATCGTAGAAGTTTTGAAATGCTGACTTTAAACGAGGTTTTTGAGATATCTCAAAGATCAACTTATCTGTCAGTAGCCTGCTTCTGTTTAAAAAAATAAATGATCTTACTTGGAGCATGTTCATGAGTATCGAATAAGATGTGAGATATAAACTCTATATGCAGGTGATAGCGGAATAATTTAATTTTGTTGTATTCTAGCCTCTGATTGGTTAATATCCAAAAAGGAACACAAATTATTTCTGTATAACCTGGTTTGGTATGGGGACACCCCCCCCCCCCCTGACAACCAGCTGAATCATCTGTATCCATACAATCCTCTCATTTCCAGTCCTCGGGATTCATGGAAAATTCCAGATTTAATAAATGTACCTTTAACTTAACAATAATTCGATCTTACCACATGTAAACAAACAACAAGGCTGCCGCTAGGCCTATGCATCAGTTTTTACCTCCCCTTGCTTCCCATCACTTCCGTTACTTCCGTTACTACGGTTGTATTATTGAGTGGCAAATCTGAACTAATAAAAAGCAACGAAATTTTACACCCTTAGTTATTTAATGATTTTAAAATTAAATTATAAGGAATGACTCTAATTCTTGTCCAAATTATTCGAGTATAACCTGGTTTGGGTCAGTTTACGCTGTTTTATAATCCGCTTCGCGGATTATAAAGCGTAAACTGACCCAAACCAGGTTATACTCGAATAATTTGGACAAGAATTAGAGTCATTCCTAAAATATTACTACATAAATAAGGAAAGTTGACGATGGGAAAGCTGAAGTCATCTCCTTTTGTCATACAATTTAGTTGTTAAATGGTCCTTATCGTCTTTAGTCAGTAAAACATCCAAATATGAAATGTGGTAGACTCTTTGATGTCTTTTATTTCAAGTTCACTAGAATTTATCGAGTCGGTATATTAATGGAAGTAACCATTGTTAATTGAAAATATGTCGTCTACATATCTGAATGTCGAATTGAAGGCCACAGAACATATTCCTTACCAATTGTCAGGCCATAGTAATTTTGTCTACAGATTACTTGGTTTATATAACTAATAGGAAGGGCTCACAGCGTGACCAATCTACAGAGGATACTAACTCAGGGGTTTTGTCCTGATCAGTCTTTAAATAGGAATTGTGAGGTTGATGAATGTTCGTTGTCTTCTTTTTTTTCACTATAATGAGAGAAATAGTCGTTGAAAAATGAAGCAATGGTAGAAATTAGCTCAATTTAATGTAACTATGTTGTAAACTACCCTCTAACTTGTAGAAGAAACTGCTATTGTTTTATTGTTATAACTTCCCCAGGTATACAGAGTAAATCCCATCTTTAGACACAAGTTAACATTTAATTACAACTACTACTTAATGAAAATGAAAAAAAAATCTTTAACAACTAGTAGTTATAATAGAAACTACATGTACTACTATATAAAAATAGAAAATCATCATCATAAACCTCCCTTCTCCCAAGATTTCACATAGAATCTGTAACTCAAACGACGGAAAAATTTGATAACATTCAAAAGAATGGAATACCGTATTGATTCAGAAAACAAAAGCTACAACTTTGGGTTACATCTGACAACTGTATTGTATGACAAATGAGATGATTTCAATTTTTCGTCAACTTTCCTTATTTATGTAGTGATATTCCGCTATCACCTTCATATGGTGTTTATGTCTCCCAAATCACTGTACGTGTACATAAATTGGAGAATTCAAAATTTAGCGCAACAAGGGGTATGGAGTTCTTGACGTAAACACATGTCCGTGCCGTGTATTGTATTACTAAATGATTTTTTAGCGGTATTCATGAATTAGTGTATCGTTGTCTGCGCCAAAGCCGCTAAAATAGGAAGCCCGCTTTTTTTAAGTACACATACAGTATTCGCTACACAAGAGCATGAGTCCGATCAATTTTCTAAACCGAGGCAGGCTACTTACACATGAGTTGATGTTGCAGGGATTTCAACAACTTCGTTTAAAGTCAGCATTCCGTAAATTCTATGGTCTTTATAATAACCTTATTAGCAAATATAACCTATTACTGGGTCGCACTTTGGCTGCCTTAATTTGATTCATAGCAATTGTTAGACCTTTGTTTTTGTACTAAATTTGACTACGGAATGTTCCATCTACTTGATCAACACATAGGCCTCACGGAGGGTGTGACCACTAAACAGGGGATGCTTACTCCTCCTAGGCACCTGACCCCACCTCTGGAATTTCCAGGGATCCGTGTTTATGCTCTGTTCACAAATTTGTATGGTTGTAGTTTTTATGAGACCGATCACTGTTCGTTATTTTAACCCTTTTTAAAACTCCTTTTGTGACCAGATCCCAAATTCAGTTCATGTTTTGTTAGCGGACATACTCTTTTAAGTGATTTGAAGAGTGGTTCATATGCATACTTAGCTACTCAACTATAAAACAAAGATCCAGAACTAACTAAATTTCAACTCACAGAGGGTGCGAGAAAGTTAAGAGAGGCTTAATATAATTATAGTCAAAGCAAGAGAAAACGGTTGATGATCTGGATGCAATCTTACTGTTAAGAAAAATGTTAAAAGTTTGTCATAATATATGTAGTTATGTTTTAGACCTTACCTCCAATAATTTCTTAGTCTGTATTGTCATAGAGATCATCAACAAGACTAGTGCTCTTACAGGCATTTAGGTCAGACGACACGTTCCTAAATAATATATAATTTTTTCAAAGAATTTATCAATGAAGTACCGCTACTTTAACAAGTTCCCTCACAAAAAATTGAGGTACCTTTCCGGGCATTTGTGCAAGATACCAGAGGGTAGTGTAATATTGTCAATATCAGAATTTTTTGTTCTATATATTTTCTAGATTTAGAAATCACAAGATAATGTTAAATATTAAAAATATTTCTTATATATTACCAGGAGAAAAAACACAGGTATTTGAGGAACGTGTCGTTAGACCTCAAAATGTCTAAAAGATCAAATAAGAGTTCAAAATTGTTTCTTTTATGACACGAGTGTACCCTCGTAGAAGAGATGATAAAGCAAAAAACGTAAGTACACATATTTTTATCAGCAAAAAAGATGAACAAAGATATGCTTTTGAGTAAATAATAAAAGACGTGTGTATCTTTCAGTTTATACGGAATATGCACTCTCTATAGATTTGAAAAAAAAATATTTTACTACATTAAATGATAATGTTCATAATCAAATGACCCACAGTTTAACTACCCAGGTTGTTTTATCTTATCTCGAAGGTATTCACTAAAGCAATTCTTTCTACCTTGATGTATATTTAAATCGAAAGATCGGTGATCTTGTCAACACTTTAAATCTTTTTTGACCTGTATGACCTGTGGACCTTTTTCTTTTATACGGAAAGCCATCAATTTTTAATTTCGTTAAAATCTTTTTGATTGGGTCTGTCTGATCATAAAATTAAAAAAAATCATGAATGCTTATATACATCCATTAATTATTTTATTTTTTTTCTTATCCAAGCTCATTATTGCTATTCACTAGATTACCACTAATCAACTTAACATGTCATACTATTAGTTAGATCCGGTTTTAAAAAGCCTTAAGTATGAAAAATTCACAACTCCGCCCAATTGAAAGAAATGGCATGTTGAAGAATTCTCCCAAGTGAAATGCATCCTTTATGAAGTATCAAATGTAACTTTTTATTGTTCCTCCATTTATGTAACGTGGGCACTTTCATATACTTTATATGAATAATTTATAAAGATAAATACAAGTATGTAAATATAAACAATAAAATGTCTTTCTTTGTCTTGAAATATTCATTATGGATAAACAGCTGCAGAAAAAAATGAACTTGCTTTCGCGGTCCCCCCCCCCCCCAAAAAAAAAAAATGTTGCAACAATGAATCATCCTTATTATCGACAATGAAATCATTTTAATTTGTAATTTAAAACATGACAAAGATTTGTAGTAAAGAATATGATATAACAACAATTTTATTTTGCTTAGTGCATTAGAAGGTTCTCAGATGGAGGCTTACATTGTTCTGCGAGAGGAGGAATACCCCACTCTACTGAATGAACTCCAGAAACAGCTGCCAGCGTCACTTATGGTACACAATTTTTTTTTTTAGAAATCACATGTTGTTCAAAATACAAATGTTGTCTATCAATAGTCATAAAAAACGACGTTGATGTCGAGAGATGGTGCATTGGTTTCACAAGTGCATGTTTGTATACTAGTAGTTTATTCCAAACATTTCAATCACAGGAAATATACACGTAAACCTATCAATTTGAATATCCCATTTAAAAATAGCAATCGATGTCTGCAATTGTGAATTCATTTTACTCTTATTCAGGTTCTGCAATTATGATTACATTTTTTTATATTCAGGCTTATTATCCATTGATGTTATCTCAAAAGAGTCTACTCCCAAAATTCAAGTTCATCTTTGTCGATGAATGGCCAGAGTTTAATTGCGTTTTAGAAGTGGAAAACTTGGTATGTTGCATTCATGGTTAAAGGATATAAAACAAAACAAAATAAAAAGCAAATAAATATGAATTAAACAAAAGCAAAGATCCAGTGCATAAATTTTTTCAGTACTGGCATATTTGGTGCTGTTTCTTCAAATTGGTTCGAAAAGAAATTCCCATTCATAAAAAAAAAAATGAAGAATCAAAGGGAAAAATTCTAATATTTCGTATTGAATTATAATTGCAAGCCAAAGATTTGATAATTGAATATATATATATATATATATATATATATATATATATATATATATATATATATATATATATATATATATATATATATATATATATATATATATATATATATATATATAAGCCTGAAGACTTATCCCCACATCGAATGTATGGTTACTGTAGACGAGAAGAGTTCTGTGTTCATCTAAATCGCATGATTTGTCAACGCCTTCAGAAATCATCATCCAGCATAAATCTTTTTGGTAACACCATTCTTATAAATGTTTGCTCGATTTAAGTTTTTGATATAACAACAAAAACAACATTATTACTTTTAATATTATTATTACATTTATTATTGATAATGATGATGATATTTATGATGATGCTGAAGATTGTAGTGAAAATAATTAAATAACTTATTTGTATTTGCAACATATGACAGGGGGACCAAGGCGTATGAAGGAGCTATTATCCGATGATGCAGATACTCACAGTGCCTCAAAGATTTCTGCCTTGGGTAGCTGTAAGTTTTTAAAAACATTTATATGATTTTTCTTCATCATGTTTTGTTAAAGTTTGCATAATGTTTCTTTCTATGAAATGTTCCTTGTGCATTGTTCTCATCATTTTTAATTGAGCCTTTCACGGAAAGTAGCAAATCTGAATAAAAATAAACGCAAGCTTATCATCCTATCAAAAGACAAAGAATTTGTTTAAATATTTTGAAAAATTAATGAAAAATTATGATAACGGTTATTATTTTTTAATATTATTTTTTAGTATTTATACACACATTTCAGTCATATTCAATTTACCTCTACATTTTTGAATAAAAAATAGGTGGATCTAAGAGGGTTCAAGATACCAAACCTTCATGGGTTGGAGGTTTTGATGCATTCAGAGTATCCAAAAATACCTTAAAGAAAATGTAAGCAAAAGAAAATGATTCTTTTGGGCTCCATTGCAAATCTTGGCCATACTCAAAGTAAAAATCGTCTTCCTAATCTCCTAATTTTCATTCCTTTTTTTCCTTTCTATTCTGGCATTGGTTATAGTGAAGTTCCTAGAACTTTTACCGTCACAACAATTAAGAGAGAATACATGGACTTGGTTCTAAGCCAATGGCAGTACACAGGTAGTTATAGTGATGCAAAGGAATTCTTCACACTTACAGCCACCTCTCTGGAATCTGTGTGTATCCTCAACGACTCAGGTGAACCTGTGGCTTGGGGTTTTGAACAACATTACGGAGCTATCGGCCTTATTAATGTATTACCAGATTACCGTAGGAAGAAACTCGGCAGTGCTGTTGTTTCTCTCCTGTCGGAAAAAATTCTACAGAAACATGACTTTGTGTACGCAGCTATTGAGGCAGAAAACGCCAAGTCTATTATATTGCATAAAAAGGTTGGGTATGAGAAAATCGATGTTTATCCTGAATGTATCTTTACCTGGTGTTATTACGAAAATGGTAAGGAAAAAGCGGATGAATCTTTACAGTAAATACACACACATGTGTCTAAAATTAAACCATTGAATTCTTATTACATATACACCGATACAATATTTTAGGGGATGATATTACAGAAATGTTATAAACGTGTTTTTTAAAGTATATTTTGTCTATGTGAATTTAAGATATACATCATAGACAGCTGCTTTTTCAATAAAAATGAAACTCGTAGATTTACTTACCTTGTCATTGGTTATTTGAAAAATTATTTGTTTAAAACATTCTGATTGTACACACAAGTACTCTGAAGTTGATATTAAAAAGATGCCTGACTTTCTGATTGACAATATCTATGTTGTTTTTGGAGATCAGGTCTTCCAACAATTTGTCGGAATTCCCATTGGTACCAATTGTACCCCATTACTAGCAGACCTATTTTTGTATTCATATGAAGCAGAATTTATTCAAAGACTTATATACATGAGAAGAAGAAAACCCTTGCTGTTGCCTTCAACTCGACATTTAGATACATCGACGACGTATTAGCAATTAACAACAGTTACTTCCATTCATAAGTCGAATCGATATATCCCAGTGAAGCTGAAATAAAAGATACCACAGCGTTTGAAACACTTGTTTCATAATTAGATATTTTACTAGAAAAAGACGTTAACGACAATCTTACCGCAAAACTTTTTGATAAAAGTGATGACGTCAATTTTTCTATCGTCAACTTCCCTTACTTGTGTAGCAATATTCTCTTATCACCTGGATATGGGGTTTATATCTCCCAGTTGATTCGATACGCAAGAGCATGCTCTACGTACAAACAATATCTAAAACGAAGCAAGTCGATGAAACAAGCATGTCAACAGTCTCGTTTAAAGTCATCATTTCGCAAGTTCTATGGCCGTTAAAGTGACCTTGTCAACAAGTGCAATCTATCATTAAGTCGAATGCTGACTGACGTTTTTCATACCAATTATTAGACCATTATTTACACACTGAATTGTCTGCGGATTTTTTCGTTTGTCTGATCATGACAAGGAGCACACGGCAGGTGTGACCGGTCGACAGGGGATGCTTACTCCTCCATGGCACCTGATCCCATCTCTGATGTACTAAAGGTCCGCGTTTGCTTTGCTCCCAATTTGTATATTTTGGATGGATTTTTGAGATAAATACAGCTCATTATCTCCATATTTCATACACAGGCCTTTAAATTCAATTTGGAATTTGGAACTTTTGGAATATGAAGGTATGTCAGGAAATAATTATATAGAGTTGAAACGTTTTATAGTCGGACTGTGCACTTCTTCTCTTTAGTGATTGCTAAAAAATGAGGGTTGTGAAAATTTTCAATTATTTCATTGGTTGAAATGCCGTGCAAGGCCAGGGAGGTAATTTTTCAAGAAGTTTAATCTTTAAAAAAAGTCGACAAAACGGGAAAAAATTACAATAAATGAAATATTCTGTTTGAACATAATGTGAATTTTATTTTAATTTCAATAAGCAATTGAAATAAATAAAATTGATTTATTTACATTTCTCTACAAATTACAATGTAAATGATAACTGCAGATCATAGAATGGGGCAAGATACACATTGAAAGTAGTTACACGATAACGTTTTTCTTTGAATTGTGTTAAAAAGCGGATCCAGCACCGGTGTCCCCCCCCCCCCCCGATTTTTTTTGTTTTTGTAAACCATTCTCGAACAACACCCTATACACCCCATTTCTAAAATTCCTGGATCCGCCACTGATACTCACGATTTGTTAAGAATTGCCGGACTGGATGGGCACTGACACGATCCTTTAACAGTTATCAATAATTAACAAACTAACCATGCCATTAGTCCCTGCGATCTCAAATTTAATTACCTAAAAATTAACGTATCAACGTTTATAATATTTAAAATTGAATCTGGAATAAAGCTTTGATGATATTGCGTTCAAATATACTTAGATTAAATTTGTTGATTAAGCTGTTCCATCTTCACCCCTATCCGTTAATTATACTGATTGATGATTCATTGATTATATGATGGTATTGGGTACAAAATATTAATTTGCTATTTTTTTATTGTCCTCTAGTACAAGTATTGAATTGAACATATTTTATTGACAAAGCCAAAAGGATAAGACACAAGTTCTACAACTTAGATAGTCTTCTCCTTATACAAAATTTTATAACATTGCCATAATAAAGTACAATTATTTTCAGTAACAAATCAATTAGTAGTGTCAAAGACTGTATGCTCTTGATACCAGAATACAATTTTATATACAAAAAATTAGATTTTTTAGAGAATCTACCACATTCTTTTAAAAAAGTATGAATAACTTTAAAAATTTCTACATTTTGTTGATCAGAGAATGAATCAACACCGCATAGCATCAAATGCACATCTATAATGTACAAATTGTTGAATGATAATAAATTACTCATTAAAGAATGTCTTGCTGTTGCATATTTTCTACAATCAAAAAACAAATGGTAGGGATCCTCTATTTGTCCACATGAGCAATTTGGATTGTCTATTAAATTACAGCGAAATAGGTCAGAATTTAAAATACAATTATGTCTTAACCTTGTGTGAATAATATTCCAAAATCTCTTTCCAAAAGAGAAATACTTTGGAGGTTTTACAATATTGCTTGACAAAAATTTTTAAAACATTTATTGGAAGTTGCCTCCCTTATGTTGAGTTTAATTGCATTCCACTTTCTAACTGTGTCCGGAATAAAAGATTTATTGAATAATTCTAATCTGCATTTTGGCAAGGAATAGTTGGAAGAATTTCGAGTAGAGTATTGTGAAATATTGCCTCTAATATCAGGTACTATATTTTGAATGTAAGTGGGTACTAAATTGTCGTGTATTTTGTACATAGTTACTAGATTAGTTCGATTTCTTCTATTTTCCAAAGGTTCCCATCCAGTTTCCAGATAAAGTGAATTTTTGGAAGCTTAATAAGTGTAAGACCAGTTACTATTCTAGCAGCAAATAATTGAACTTTCTCAAACTTTTCAATATCTGCCTTAGTACATCCAGACCAAACTTCAACAGCATATTCCAGTTGTGGTCTGATAAAAGAAATATACATCTGGGACAAAATATCCCTTGACACAGTGAATTTTAGTTTTTTCAGTAAACCAAGTTTTTTGTAAGTCTTCTTTACAATGTTATCAATATGATCAGACCACCTCAAATTTGAAGACAAGAGTATCCCAAGATGCGTGTGTTGTGTGACATAATCTAATTGACAGTTCTCAAAAATTAAATTTGGAAATTGTTGCACAGCTTTTAAATGAAAAAATACAGCTTTGGTTTTCTGTGGGTTGAATTTCAACAACCATTTCTTCGACCATTCATGTAAGATTCTAAGATCATGATTAAGATTTTGCTCAATTAGAGTGATATTTTCTGAACATTGTTGTAAAGAATTGTCAACAGCAGATAATCTACAAACAGATATAATATTTTGAGCAACATCATTTACATACAGCAAAAATAAGAGTGTTCCAAGTACCGATCCCTGAGGGACTCCAGCTTTTACATAACCTATGGAAGAGAGCAGATTTCTGTACTTGACTTGTTGTGTTCTATTGCTTAAATAACTTTCAAACCAATTTAGCATATTACCATTGATTCCATACATTTGAACTTTATAAATTAAGCCTTTATGCCATACTCTATCAAATGCCTTGGGTAAATCGCAAAACACCATACAACAGAATTTACCTTTGTCAATACTTTTCACAATAGAATGGTATATTTCTAGAAGTTGATATACAGTAGAGTGCCCAGGTAAAAAGCCTGACTGATATTAATAAAAAAAAAAAATTTGAATGTAGGTAGTTGTACACATGTTTGAATATAATTCTTTCAAATATTTTACTTACACAACTCAACAAAGAGACAGGTCTATAATTTGAAGTTATAGAGGGGTCATCCTTCTTAAATAGTGGAAGAACATATGCTAATTTCCAACATTCAGGAAATGTTTTTAATGATAATGATTTATTAAATAATATACACAGTGGTTTTGATATAGTGTTTTTGCAGGACTTTAACATTTTGTGACTGATGTAATCTGGACCAACTGCTTTATTGACAGGAATTACTGAGATTATATCTGTAATCTCGTGTTCTTGTATTTGTATTTCTAGAAATTTTTTCACTACATTTAATTTCTATATTTGGAAGTTCATGGTAACTATCATCTAAAAATGTGATAGATGTAAAATACTTGTTTAAGAGTTCAATCTTGTCGGTGTCTAGTATTGCAAATCTATCTTTGTTATTGTCATTGATATACTGAATGGGTGGTATTTCACTCGTCGATTTAGTGTGAATCTAGAACAAGTCACAAACCACAATATGAATAGCACAATGCAATTGCCAGTTATGTTCGGCAATCACATTTGGTGGCATATTTATTTTTAATGTTCCATCTTTTTGCTGTATACTTACTGGTTTTTTTTTTATATATATATATTTTGCAAATATTGTTTATCTGTAAATTTAGGGATCAGCATATTGATATGTATTGTGTGAATACCATTTGGTCTGATCCCCTATCATGTTTATGCATATATTTTTTTTTATTTTCGTCATTTTTAATAAATGACATATTTCATCTCAACATTGGTGTTGATTTCATTGATCATAACACAGCAAAAAGAGAGCTGTGGTGAGATTGTGCAGCATGAGGAAACATGAAATAACAATTATGTAAATAATTTCATTTATGTGTTGAATGCTTTTTAATTTTCTTTTGTTTAAATGTACGTAAGTAAACATTTTATTCTGTATTGTTTTAAAACTCAATATTTTGATTTTTCTTCATCTGCTGGAATTCTCCCATGCCTTGCAGGTGTCAGGTGCATGTTATGTAATTTTCCCCATTTCTTCAGTTTCGGCTACTTGTTACACAACTCCAAAATTGCCCATGGTCAAAACTTACCCCTATGTATGCTAATAGCCAATCAGAAATAACCATCATAGTCACGTGTTTTGATGCTGTTGGTAGCTGACCAGTCAGCGTTGGGTCATTCTCGCCTCATCTATGCTATCGATAACAACAAAAAATTTGGCACACCCACCACCACCCCAGTCTTTCCTACCTTATTTTGCATTTATATATTTTTAATTTTACTGACATATTTATTTTTAATGTGCCATCTTTTTGCTATATACTTACTGTATTTTTTTTTTTATATATATCTTCAAATATTGTTTATCTGTAAATTTAGGGGATCAGCATATTGATATGTGTTGTGTGAATACCTTTTGGTCTGAT